CTTGTGTAATTCATATAATGGAGACTGTAATTCATATAACGGTTACATTGGGAACCTTGGGTATTTCCTATAGATTTTATGTATTGGATAAACTTAAGAACACTCTGTATGGAATATTTTCTACTTGGAATCTAACTCATTTTTCTGATTTAGAAACTAAGAAGAAGCGTGTAGTCATTGGCTTAAAAATTGATTACAAATCAATTTGTAGAAATAGTGCTTCCCATCCCAACTTCACTTGCATTTTACATCAATTTTTTTTTTTTACATAACAGATGTGACATTTAAATATTTCTCTAATGTTATTGGCATAATGAACTTTGTCAAAGAGCCATATGGTTTATGGAAACACAAAGATAATCTTGGAACTTGGACATATGTAAGCTTAATTTAAAAAGCCTGTGAAAATAGTGAAAAGCAGATGGAGAGTTGCCATGGAAATTACTAACACTTAGAGGAAGAAAAATATTACTTTAGGGTCATTGGGCTTTCTAAAGGAATGGTCAGACTTGCAAAATTGTTTTCCTACCCAACTGTCAGTAATAAAAACAGATGTTGGAAGGTAAATATATATTTTATTTACCTATGATTTTATGATTTTGTTGCATTCTGAATATATTACAAGTATGCACATTTTTATTGGTAAAGACTTTTTAGTAGTGGAAGAAAATTTAACTATTTACCACTACTTTAAGAAATGTTCTTTAAAATTTTTCTGAATGGAAGTATAAGTTGTGACATTAGATTTTGTTCTCCTTATGTAGGTTTTTATCTTGATATAAGATAAAATTAGTATCAGAATTACATAGTCTTTAAAGTAAGATGACTCAAATTTGCTTTTATAGATGAATTGTACCAATTGTAAAAAATAGAGTCAAGTCTAGATAGCTCAATAAAAGTAATTAAAAAATCTTTTAGGCCATATTCTTTATTAGAAATTCTAATTGCTAGACACTGCTCTTTACCATAGCTTAATCACAGAGAAAGTTTAAAAATCCCAATAGGAAGTCATTTGCACTGCTCATTTTGTCCCAGCAATTATTTATCACCTGATTGTTCATGTATTCATTTCCATGACCTTTGGAAAAGTCAATAACCACATTCTAATTCTTTCTCCTTTCTTCTAGGGCAATTTCAGTTGCTGTGGTTCTGTTGGAATAGACTAATCAAAAGTGGAAAAGAATTAAAGTTGGGGCCGGGGGGATTTGGAACATCAACATAACATTTGGTAAAATGTGAAGTTGAATTAATGCTGTTTTTGACCTTGGAAATGAAATATCCAAGAATAAAGGGATAAATATCTATGATTCCAACTTGTAGGAATTCATAAAATCTTGTTTCTTTGTAAAACACTAATATTACACAATAAAATTCAATGGGAATTTAAAATGAGAATGCTGGGATCAAATAATGCAGATGGATTAGCATTGACGTTTTCTCTTTGTTCTTTGTTTCCTTTTTTTTTTTTTTTTTAAGATTTGGATGGCAAATCGTCTTTCTGCAATTGTTTTATGGTTGCCATTGCAATTAAGAAATGGAAAATAAATTTCTGAGATCCAACAAAGTCTGATCTCATCAGCATCAGAACCATGTATGGAAAGAGAAAACAAAACTCAGACCTAAGAGGATGACAAAATAGAAAGACCAGCGGGAGTGGGAAAAATCCTCATAAGTGGAGCAGTTGAAACTTGGGAATATATAGCCTTAGAAAATTGCAGCTGGAGACATCTGTCATTTGTGAGTGTGCAGTGGTTTAGTTGGCTTCATATCTGAGCTAGGGGTGCTTGAGATCCCTCATTTGTTTTAGGCAAAGGGAAATCGGTGTTTCTCTTTTGTGAAATGCTTTGGATGTTTAGAAAAATACATGTTTATTGAAGTATAACACATATACAGAAAAGTGCACAGACCGCAGGACATAGTTTCATCAATTTCCACAAAAGAAGCTACTAATACCCTGAAAAAGAAATACACTATTATTAGAAGCCCAAAGTCCATTCTGGTATAACTATCCAGTCTTTACAGTCCCAGATGTAACCATGGCGCTGACTTCTTCTTCGTTTTTTTTTTTTTAAGACAGAGTTTTGCTCTTGTTGCCCAGGCTGGAGTGTAATGGCGTGATCTTGACTCACTGCAACCTCCAGCTCCTGGGTTCAATCGATTCTCCTGCCTCAGTCTCCCAAGTAGCTGGGATTACAGATGTGGGCCACTATGCCCAGCTAATTTTGTATTTTTAATAGAGACGGGGTTTCTCCATGTTGGTCAGACTGGCCTCGAACTCCTGACCTCAGATGATCCATCCACCTCTGCCTCCCAAAGTGCTGGGATTACAAGTGTCAGCACTGTGCCTGGCTTTCCCTGACTTCTAAACTGTAGAATAATTTTTCCTGATTCTGGAATTTATATAAACGTAACCAAAGAGGATGTACTTTTTTGGTCTGTCTCTGTTAGCTGAACATTATGTCTGTAAGATTTATTCCTGGTGTTGCATGTAGCAAATCTGTGTCATCCTCAGGGCTCTATAGTACTAACTACTCTGTTGTATGAAAAGTCCACAATATTTTCATTAATATTAACAATGTTTTTGTAAACATTTTTATACATTTTTTTAGGGAACATAGATACACAATTGTGTGTGTGTGTGTGTGTGTGTGTGTGTGTGTGTATGTACTTACCAAGGAGTAGAACTGCTGAAGCATATGGTAGTCATCTTTAGTGGAAACTGCTGAATCGTTTTTTTCCCAAGAAGTTTTATGAGAATTTCACTTGCTTTTTATCCTTGTCAACTCTTGGAACTGTCATTTTTATTTTTACTGTTAATGGCAGATGGTCATGGTATCTCATTCTGGTTTCAATTGAACAAGCTGAGTGCCTTTAGCTATGTTTACTGACCCTTTAGATATCCTCGTTTGCAAAGTGTCTATTCAAGTTTCTTGCCCAGTTTTTCCTGTTGGATTGTCTGTATTTTTCTTATTGATTTTAGGAGTTCTCTTGTATTCTGAATCTGAGCCTTTTGTCAGCAAGATGTATTGCAAACATCTTCCACTCTGGGGCTTAACTTTTCACTTCTTAGTAATGTCTTTGATAAACAGACATTATTAATTTTAATGTAATATAATTGATCAATTTTTGTTTCTTTTATAGTTAGTGCCTTTTAAATTCTGTTTAATAAATCTTTCATAAATTTTATAAAACTTGTGTTTTATACATTTTATTAAAATATTCTTTTATAATTTATTCCAGGAGTACTATTTTTTAAAAAAATTTAATTGATATATAATAATTACACAGTCAGGTGTGGTAGCTCATGCCTATAATCTCAGCACTTTGAGAGGCTGAGGCGGGCAGATTACTTGAGCTTAGTAGTTCAACATGGTGAAACCCCATCTCTACAAAAAATACAAAACTTAGCTGGTCATGATGGTGCATGCCTGTAGTCCTTGCTACTTGAGAGGCTAAGGTGGGAGGATTGCTGGATCCTGGGAGGTTGAGGCTGCAGCGAACTGAGATTGCACCACTGCACTACAGCCTGGGCAACAGAGTGACACCCTGTCTTGAAAAACATAGTTATACATATTTTTGGGGTACATATGATATTTTGATACATGTATACAATATGTAATAATCAGGGCAATTGGGATATCCATCATCTCAAACATTTATCTTTTATTTGTGTTGGGAACATTATAATTCTCTTCTAGCTATTTTGGAATGTACAATAAATTATTGTTAATTATGATTTCCCTACTGTACTATTGGATGTTAGAACTTATTCCTATTATTGAACTGCATTTTTGTTCTATTAACTAACTTCTTTTCATCCCAGCTTCTCCCTTCCCTTTTCAGCCTCAGGTAACCAGCATTCTACCCTCTACTGCCATGGGATCCACTGTTATAGCTTCCACAGATGAATGAGAACATGTGATATTTGTCTTTCTGTGCAAAGAAGCCCAGTTGTTTTAGCTTTCACATGTAGATAGATCTACAGTATATCTGGACTGATATTTGCATATCATGTGAGGCAGAAGCTCAAGATTCATTCATATTTTTACCTGTGGTTTTACCCAATTGATTCATATCCAGTTGACCCAGCCACACTGACTAAAAAGAATATCCTTTTCCTAACTCATTGTGTGTACTTTTATCATACATCAAGTGGACTCTTTCCTTTTCCATTGACTAATATCTATCCTTCCACTAATTCTCTTAATTACTGCAGCAATATAGTAAGTCTTGATACCTGAAAGTGAAAGACTGTCTATTCTTTGTATTATTATACAAATATTTGAGCCAGCTTGTTAAATTCATTAAAAAATATTTAGCTGGGATTTGGACTGGGATTGCATTGAATCTATAGATCAATTTGGGAGAAAATGATATTTTTATAATATCAGATCTTCTAATTTATGAATACAATATCTCTCTCCTAATAATTTTTTGTATTTTTTAATTTTGTTTGTTTTTGGGGGACAGCGTCTTCACTGTCACCCAAGCTGGAGTATAGTGGCACAATCATCTCTCCCTGCAATCTTAACCTCCTGGGCTCAATTGATCCTCCTACCTCAGTCCCTCAGCCTCCCAAGTAGCTAGGACTACAGAGGTGTGCCACTAGGCCTGGCTATTTTTTGTTTTTTGTTTTGGAGAGACTGGGTTTTGCCATGTTTCCCAGGCTATTCTTGAACTCCTGGGCTCGAGCAATCCGCTGGCCTTGGCCTCCCAAAGTGCTGGGATTACAGTCACTGTGCTCAGCCAGCATTTTGTAATTTTTGGAGTAGAGATGTTACACATCACTCATTAGATTTATTTCTAAGTACTCGATGATTTATTACAGAATAATTTTTATTTATTTTTGTGATAAAGTGACTTGTATTCAGTAAAACTGTCATGAATGTGCTATCAAGCACCATACAGCAGTATGGTTACCCAACCAATTCTGGGATGCAGAAAAACTTGAGTATGTCAGTTGTGTCTTTTCCCAATCTTCTGTTTTTGCAACAGTATTTTCAAATTTATTTTTCCATAGGTTATTGGTGTACAGGTTATATTTGGTTACATAAGTTCTTTAGTGGTGCTCTTTGTAAGATTTTGGTATACTGTACCCTATTTGTAGTTTTTTGTCCCTCAGCCCCCTCTCACCCTTTCCTCCAAGTCCCCAAAGACCATTGTATCATTCTTATGCTTTTGTGTCTTCATAGCTTAGCTCCCACATATTAGTGAAAACATACGGTGTTTGATTTTCCATTCCTGAGTTACTTCGCTTTGTATAAGTCTCCATTCTCAACCAGGTCACTGAAAATGTCATGAATTCTTTCCTTTTTATGGCTGAGTAGTATTCCATGGTGTATATATATATATATATATATATACACATACCATGGTGTATATATATATATATATATATATATATATACATACCATGGTATGTATATATATATATACCATAGTTTCTTTATTCACTTATTGATTGATGGGCATTTGGGTTGGTTCCATGATTTTTCAATTGCAAATTGTGTGCTATAAACATGCGCGTGCAAGTGTCTTTTTCAAATAATGACTTCTTTTCCTCTGGCTAGATACCCAGTAGTGGGATTGCTGGATCAAATGTTATTTCTACTTTTAGTTTTTTAAGGGATTTCCACACTGTTTCCATAGTACTATACTAGTTTACATTCCCACCAGCAATGTAAAAGTATAGTCTGATCACTGCATCCACCCCAACATCTACTGTTTTTTGACTTTTTTTATTATGGCCATTCTTGCAGGAGTAAGGTGGTATCATATTTTGGTTTTGATTTGCATTTCCCTAATCATTAGTGATTTTGAGCATTTTTTCATATGTTTGTTGGCCATTCGTATATCTTCTTTTGATAATTGTCTATTCATGTCCTTAGCCTACTTTTTGATGGGATTGTTTGTTTCTTACTGATTTGTTTGAGTTCGTAGTAGATTCTGGATATTAGTCCTTTGCCAGATGTGTAGATTGTGAAGATTTTTTTCCCACTCTATGGGTTTTCTCTGTTGACTCTGCTAACTGTTCCTTTTGTGGTACAGAAGCTCCTTAGTTTAACCAAGTCCCAGCTATTTATCTTTGCTTTTATTGCAGTTGCTTTTGGGCTCTTGGTCATGAAATCCTTGCCTACAACAATGTCTAGAAGAATTTTTCCACTGTTACCTTCTAGAATTTGTATAGTTTCAGGCCTTAGATTTAAGTCCTTAATCCATCTTGATTTGATTTTTGTATAAGGTGAGAGATGAGGATCCAGTTTCATTCTTCTACATATGACTAGCCATTTGTTGAAAACGGTGTCTTTTCTCAACTTTATATTTTTGTTTGTTTTCAAAGATCAGTTGGCTGTAAGTATTTGGGTTTATTTCTGGATTCTCTATTCTGTTCCATTGGTCTATGTTCCTATTTTAATACTAGTACTACACTGTTTTGGTGACTATGGCCTTATAGCTTAGTTTGAAATCAGGTAGTCTGGTGCCTTCAGATTTGTTCTTTTTGCTTAGTCTTGCTTTGGCTATGCAGGCTCTTTTTTGATTCCATATGAATTTTAGAATTGCTGTTTCTAATACTGTGAAGAATGATGGTGGTATTTTGATGGTGATTGCCTTGAGTTTGTAGATTGCTTTTGGCAGTATGGTCATTTTCACAATATTGATTCTAACCATCCATGAGCATGGGATGTATTTCCATTTGTTTGTGTTGTCTGTGATTCCTTTCAGTAGTGTTTTGTAGTTTTCCTTTTAGCAGTCTTTCACCTACTGGGTTAGTTACATTTGTAAGTATTTTATGTTTTTGCAGCTATTGTAAAAGGAGTTAAGTTCTTGATTTGTCTCTCCACTTGATTGCTGTTGGTGTATAGGAGAGCTACTGATTTGTGTACATTTATCTTGCATCTAGAAACTTTGCTGAATTCTTTTATCAGTTCTAGGAGCTTTCCAGAGAAGTCCTTAGGGTTTTCAAGGTAAATGATCTTATCATCAGCAAACAGTGACTGTTTGACTCCCTCTTTAACGATTTGGATGCCCTTTATTTCTTTCTCTTGTCTGATTGTTCTGGCTAGGACTTCCAGTACTATGTTGAAGAACAGTGGTGAGAGTGGGCATCCTTGTATTGTTCCACTTCTCTGAGGAAGTATGTTCAACTTTCTCCCATTCAGTATATGCGACTGTGGGTTTGTCATAGATGGCTTTTATTACATAGAGTATGTCCCTTGTATGCTGATTTTGCTGAGAGTTTTCATTATAAAGGAATGCTAAATTTTGTTGAATGCTTTTTCTGCTTTTGAGATGATCATGTGATTTTTGTTTTTAATTCTGTTTATATGGTGTATCACATTTATTGACTTGTGTATGTTGAACCATCCCTCCATACCTGGTATGAACCCACTTGATCATGGTGAATTATCTTTTCAATATGTTGTTGATTTGGTTACCTAGTATTTTGTTAAGGATTTTAGCATCTATGTTTATCAAGGATATCAGGCTGTAGTTTTATTTTTTGGTTATGTCCTTTCCTAGTTTTGGTATTAGGGTGATGCTGGCTTCATAGAATGAATTAGGGAGAGTTCCCTCTTTCTCTATCTTGTGGAATAGTATCAAAAGGATTTGTACCAATTATTCTTTGAATGTCTGGTAGAATTCTGCTGTGAATCCATCTGGTCTTGAACTTTTTCTGTTGGTAATTTTTAAATTACCATTTCAATCTTGCTGCTTGTTATTAGTCTTCTCTGGGTATTTAATTCTTCCTGACTTAAGGTAGGAGGGTTGTATTTTTCTAGGAACTTATCCATCTCTTCTAGGTTTTCTAGTTTATGTGGGTAAAGGTGTTCATAGTATCCTTGAATGATCTTTAGTATTTCAGTGGTGTCAGTTGTAATATCTCCTGTTTTGTTTCTCACTGAGGTTATTTGGATTTTTTCCTCTTCTTTTCTTGGTTATACCAATTGTATTTATCTTTTCAAAGTACCAGCTTTTTGTTTGATTTATCTTTTGTATCTTTTTTTTT